TCTTGTCCTGCGTCTGCACTCTGACAGAGGTGGTGAGTTCTCCTCCGACCTCTTGGCAGCCTACTGTGCGGAGCACGGCATCACCCAGTCGTTCACGCTTCCGGCCTCTCCGCAGCAGAATGGGGTTGCTGAGCGCCGCATTGGCTTAGTCATGGAGGTCGCTCGTACCTCCATGATCCATGCGGCTGCCCCCCATTTTCTGTGGCCGTTTGCGGTCCGGTACGCCGCGCATCAGCTCAACCTCTGGCCCCGTGTCTCCTTGCCGGAGACCTCGCCCACACTGCTGTGGACGGGGAAGGTTGGCGATGCGTCGCGTTTCCGGGTCTGGGGTGCTCGTGCCTTTGTCCGCGATACCACCGCGGACAAGCTCTCCGCCCGCGCTGTTCCCTGTGTCTTCCTTGGCTTTGTCCCTGACGCGCCTGGTTGGCAGTTTTACCACCCCGCCTCGCGCCGTGTCTTTGCGTCTCAGGACGTCACGTTCGACGAGTCGGTTCCCTTTTACCGTCTCTTCCCCTACCGCACTGCCTCGCTCCCCCCCCCGCCGCTCTTCCTCGCTCCAGGTGCTCCCCAGGTAGACCCCCTCCCCGCTCCCGGTCCTGCTCCTTCAGGTGTTTCTCAGGTAGACCCTCCTCCCTTGACTACGCCGGTTGAGGTCACTGGTGACTCAGGTCCTACTGAGAGTGGTCCTGCTCGGGGTGCTCCTTCTGGGGGTGCTGGGCCTGGGGGTGCGGAGCCTGGGGGTGCTGCGCCTGGGGGTACTGAGCCTGAGGGTGCGGAGCTTGAGGGTGTGGAGCCTGGTGGTGCTGAGCCTGAGTGTGAGGGGTCTGGGGGTGCTGAGCTTGGCGGTACTGCCGCTGGAGGTTCGGGAGCTGCTGGAGGGCCTAGTACTGGTGGCGCTGGAGCTGGAGGTTCTGGAGCTGCTGAGGGTGCTCGCGCTGGAGGTTCTGGAGCCGCTGGAGGTACTGGTGCTGAGGGTACTGACACCGGAGGTTCTGGAGCCGTTGGGGGTGCGGGCGCTGAGGGTTCTGAGTCTGCTGTTGCGCGGTCTCCTTGGAGTGGCCGCCTTCGTCCACGTGTGCCTCTCACCCCACAGCAGCTGCAGGACTGGTACGGTCACCGTCAGCGTCGCGCTACTGGAGCTAGGAGTCGTGCTGGTCCTTTGTCTACTGGAGGTGCTGGAGTTGCTGGTTCTGGGGGTGCTGCTGCTGGAGACACTGAGGTTGGAGACCCTGGGGCTGGAGCTGCTGGTTCTTCGCTCCGCCGTCTCCGTCGTCTCTGCCGCCGTCTGCCTCTGTTCTTCGTCAGGTTCTTACTCTTCCGTCGTCTACTGGTCTTCCGTTACAGTCTGGCTCACCGCTGCCTGCTCCTTCTCCTTACACTGAGCTGACCGGTAGTCCAGCTGAGCGTCGTGAGCCTGCGTCGCGTCCTGTTTCGCCTGTTCGTCCTGGTCGTACCGGTCGTCGTGTTCCTCGTTCGCGCCAGCCGGCTGTCCCCGGCGCACACCTCGTAGTCCGTCGTCCTTCCTCTGCTCCGCAGCCTGTTCCTCTGCCGTCTCCCCCTGCGTCCTCTCTGCCTGCCGTTCCGGACCCTGAGTCTGACCGGTTTCGTACTGAGCACCCTACTGTCACGCGTCTCCTGGCCACTGTTGTCACTGACCCGTCGTTTGAGTCTACTGCTGCGTCTGCCTTGGTCGCTGAGCTTGTTGACTTTGCTGCTGCCTGTCGTCTAGACTACGTCGCTTGTCTTGTTGCTGAGTCTGAGTCTGTCTGTCCTCCGTCCGTCGGGGGTGAGTGTGCTCTTAGCACGGACGTCCTTGAGGACAGGCAGGAGGAGTTCCAGTGTCTTGCTGCTGCTTTACCTCATCTTGTGTCCTCGCTACTTGCCCCTGAGGGAGACCCGGATGCACCAGACATCCCGACTCCGCGCTCTTACGCAGAGGCGATAGAGGGTCCCTACTCCTCTCAGTGGCAGGCAGCCATGGACGCAGAGATGGCTTCCTGGAAGTCCACAGGCACCTACGTTGACGAGGTTCCCCCACCTGGGGCGAACATCGTCAGTGGCATGTGGATTTTCAGGGTGAAGCGACCGCCGGGTTCTCCACCTGTCTTCAAGGCGCGTTACGTGGCTCGAGGCTTCAGTCAGCGAGAGGGAGTTGACTTCTTCCAGACCTTCTCCCCCACCCCGAAGATGACCACTCTTCGGGTGCTGCTGCACGTTGCTGCTCACCGTGACTACGAGCTTCACTCTCTTGACTTCAGCACAGCTTTCCTGCAGGGCAGCCTGCACGAGGAGATCTGGCTGCGCCGCCCCCCGGGCTTCACTGGGTCGTTCCCTCCTGGTACCCAGTGGAGCCTCCGGCGGCCGGTCTACGGTCTCCGCCAGGCGCCACGTGAGTGGCACGACACACTGAGGACTACGCTTGCGGCTCTTGGGTTCGCGCCTTCTACTGCTGACCCGTCGTTGTTTCTGCGCACCGACACTTCACTGCCGCCGTTCTACATCCTCGTGTACGTCGACGATTTGGTCTTTGCCACTGCTGACACTGAGGCTCTCGCCCACGTGAAGTCGGAGCTGCAGAAGAGACACACGTGCACAGACTTGGGTGAGCTGCGCAGCTACCTTGGCTTGCAGATCACCCGAGACAGAGCACGTCGCACCATCACCTTGACTCAGTCACACATGGTGCAGCAGGTCCTTCAGCGCTTCGGCTTCACCTGGTCTTCAGCACAGGCCACTCCTCTGGCTACAGGTCACACGCTCTCAGCTCCACCTTCGGACGAGTCCGTAGAGCCGAGTGGTCCTTACCCAGAGCTAGTCGGCTGCCTCATGTACCTGATGACTTGCACTCGACCTGACCTCGCGTACCCTCTTGGTCTCCTGGCTCGCTACGTGGCTCCTGGTCGGCACCGACCTGAGCACATGGCTGCTGCTAAGAGGGTACTGCGTTACTTGTGCAGCACATCAGGCATGGGGCTAGTGCTTGGAGGGACGAGCCCAGTTGTCCTCACTGGGCACTCAGACGCTTCTTGGGTTGACGACCTGGCTACTCAGCGGTCGTCACAGGGTTACACCTTCAGCCTTGGCTCTGGTTCAGTTTCGTGGCGTTCTACACGCTCGTCTTCAGTTCTCGGCTCCAGTTGTGAGGCTGAGATCTACGCCACCGCCATGGCTGCACAGGAGTTACGCTGGCTCACCTACCTGCTGACTGACTTGGGAGAGCAGCCTCGTTCTCCTCCAGTGCTGTACGTTGACAACAAGGCAGCCATTGCCTTGTGTGAGGAGCACAGACTGGAGCACAGAACGAAGCACATTGCTCTGCGTTACTTCCTGGCTCGAGAGTTGCAGCAGCGAGGCCAGCTTCGTCTTCGCCACGTGGCCACTCGGGCGAACACTGCTGATATATTCACCAAGGCATTTCCGTCTGGTGATCATCAGCGCTTTTGTACTCTGTTGGGCCTTGTGCCTACGCTTCCACACTTGCTGTAGTCTCTGCTTGTATTGTGATCTGTACATATATATGTATATGCATGCTGGTTCTTGCTAGGTTGCCATCACTGTACTGTTATTGCTGCATATATATCTCTGCATGTGAACTGGCCCTGTGGCCCTTTGCTTGTGCTCGGAATGCGTGGTGACGTTGTGATCCACCCTGAGCTTGTTTTGCTTCTCTTGACTGGTCGTTTGACCCCTTGTTCTCCCCCACTTTGCCTATGGGGGTGTGTCAAACTATATGTGCTGCATATTGTCTAGGCTGTAGTGGGGTAGCCCATATGGGGTACAACCCAATTAGGGTTTACTACTTGTACTCCTGCATCCTGTTAGTTCACATCATTCCTGCTGCTAGATTCTAACACTAAGGGGTACATTCCCTTATTCAAATGCATTCCCAACCGTGCGGCGCGTACAGTTACGAAACTGTTCCCGCCGAAACCATCCTGCCTGTAGCTGCTCGATGCCGTCTGTTCCGACGGTCCAGATGCGTCCCAACTGTCTGACGCTTCGAGTCAATCTCCAACCGTCTGACGGTTCGCGTTCTTGCTTCGATACTGCGTGCTTCTCTTTGCTGCGGTGAGGAGTGCTCAGTAACAATTAAATTGTACTATTCGTAACACAAAATACTACCTATTACATTGTTAGACTATCGTTTTATGTTGTTATTATATAACCATCATGAATGCACTTCCTAAAAGTGTTTTATTTATCTTAATTATGAATTGTACAATTTTTTCTTAGATACAACGAGTGTGTTTTTTAACAGTATTGCATATAAAAAACGCACGTGTTTCTTACCACTAGTACTGCACCTATTTAAGTTTGTGCTATCGAGAGTGTGGCCTTGGATTTCTTCTTTCACTAGTCTCTTTTTTCCTATGCACATTTCATCGTTCTGTACGTTTTAAAGCGCCCATAACAGCAAGGATATTGCTGGTCCTCCAAACGTCGTCAGGTCAGAGAAGATTCTCGCTGCTTCTTGACGAGAAAGTGGCTCTGGTCCACGCAAGCTATGGATTTCGTTCTCAGCCGACAAACTCCTCAAGCGTTGATGCTGAGTTGTCGTCGTGACTCGTCACCACGCCGGCCATTGTTGTCAGCCCACAGCTGCTAGGGTTTCTGCGCCCACGACCGTTACTGCAGCCTGGACCATTTCGATACTTTCGCCAGTTTTCGCACACTTCCCCTGAAAGTCAATCCTTGCACAGCTGAGGGACGTGATCGTGCGGTCGCATTTGACTGACGAGACCCTCCAGTCACCCAAGTCAGTCAGGCAAGTATTGACGGAGTTCGGGAAGCAATTTGTTGCGTGGGTGGGTAGGTTAGCATTTTGGATATTGAGAATGAACGACTGTTGAAGCTAGGGTTTGCTCTTAGCAGAAAAGACTCGCAATTTTCAAAGATACAAGAAACAGGACAGGATAGTACAGGACACGACTGTATTTCCCGGCGAGGTCACGACTGTATTTCCTGGCGAGGTCTTAGAATCTGAGCTACCCTCGTGTACTATGGCGCGTGTTCTTCTCCTAACCGCTCTGCTGGTCGTCTCAGTGGCTCTCGTTTATGGGCAGTTTGAAGTTAGTGAGACTCAGGGTCAGGTACGTGCTTGTGAGATTGTTTTTTCCATGCACTATTTTCCATGACTTTCACCCATCTGAGCCGGCGTATGTCTGTGTCATAATCCTTTATTTTTTCAGAACTGTGGCCACTACGTTGCGTTCACACAACTCCAGGTGATTCTTACTCAGCAGCACCATGCTACTTAGTTGCCTTAAATTGTGATAGGTTTCACGTTTTGCTTCTCTTGCCTTCTGCCCGTCCTCACTATCTCCTGTATTTCTGCAAACCCGTTTCCCCTCTGCTCCTACGTTCTTTTCCCCTTTCCTAGTTCTACCGCGCTTTTGCAACTTAGTTCACCTTTCATTATTATATGCTTCTTTCTCTCCAAACTCCCTGTCCTCTGTTATGCCGTGGCAGCCTAGCAATGTCGGTGGCCTCCATCTCCGCGGAAATATTATGTTCGTCGTCGCCAACCGACTCCCGTCCGTCACTCGCATGATCGTCCACCGCTTCCCGTCGTCTATCTCTGACATTCTCAACGACCTCCACACCAAGCCCGAAGACATGGAGGAGTCGTCCGAGTCTGCCGAGTCGACCGACTCTTCTGAGACTTCCGAATCCTCAGACGAGGAGATTCCCACTCCCGTCCCTATTGAAAACGGGGAGGAGGATGCGTTTGCAACGGGCGGTGAATCCAGCATCGTTACCAACGTGACTCCCGAATCCTCGGACGAGGAGATTCCCACTCCCGTCCCGATCGAAAACGACGAGGAGGATGCGATTGCTACAGGCGGTGAATCCAGCACGGTTACCAGCGTTTCTTCGGAAACGACTCGTGACGAGGCCACCGAGGATACCGAAACGGAAAACGTCCGAATGTTGACGGCTGAAGATGATAGCGACGCTGCCGTCACTGCCGACCCCGCCTCCGACGAGCGTCTCCCGACGGAAACGGATGATGCTGCTGCTGCAAAACGCTCGGATCCGCTGACGTCCGCGTTTGAAGCGTTTGTACTCTCTCGCGATTGGACTAAGAAGCTCGACCTCGACGACCTGTTCTCGATGATTCCACCGCAGGATCAGTCCTCAAAGCATATGCAGTTGTTCCAGGAGTTTGTCAAGGCCGCGAAGGAGTTCCAGAGCAACGCGCAGACTGCTCAAGAGCAGGATGAAAGCTCGGAGAGTGGGGACTCGGAGAATGAGAGCTTGGAGAATGAGAGCCCGGATTATATGGTTGACCAGATGCTCCCTGACCAGGTGGATGGTGATTTAACGGAATATCTCAGCAAACTCGACAGCCCGACGGCTGTTCCCGTGGACGATGATGACTCCGCAGGTAAAATTCTTTGGCGCGAGAAGGGCAGAGGGGCAGGTAGGGAAAGGGTGAGGGGTGAGGAGAGGTGGGGGATGGGTGGGTGTGGGGCGGCGTAGAAAGGGTGCGTGTGTTGTGCTGCTGGAAAGCGCACCGGTACTGCTTTTCTGTTCTGGTGGCTATGGAACCTCGTGCATTGCCTTGTTATAAACCTTGTCACGCCTTTCGTCTCCAATGTGTCTATCCATTCTAGTGTCTGTCCATTCTAGTGTCTATCCATTCTAGTGTCTGTCCATTCTAGTGTCTATCCATTCTAGTGTCTGTCCATTCTAGTGTCTGTCCTTCTGTCTGCCTGTCTGTCTGGTTGCTTCCCACTCACCTGCTTTCCTGTGCCGCCGGCTGCCTGTGTCTATGCCCATCTCTATCCGTCCACTCCTACTCTTTCTTGTTTCTCACCAGTTTCAGGCGACGATGCTGTGGTGACAGTTGTGGACGACTTCTACCCCTTCCCCAACCTTCTTCCCGGGTGGACCGTCGCCAACATTGTTGGCCTGGTTATTCTCGGGCTCGCCTTTGTCTTCCTGGTGACCATGATGATTCTCAGCCTCGCCTCCATTATCTATGGCTGTGCTGATCCCGAGGATGATGACTCGACCGTTCTGCTTTATGAGGACAACACCAAGACCCCCCTTCTGAAGGTGGGTTTGGTTGTCTGTCTGACTCTATGCATTTTCAGTCTGTTTATAATGTTCACGTACACGCTTAGGGTACGTCCTCTGCCGGTGTCAAGTGGGCTGACCGGAAGCTGTGAAGGGTTTGGATTTGTTTGTTGATGATGTGGCACGATCGGAGCTGTCGATAGCCTTGTGTCAGGAAAGTTGACACCGGCCAAGAACGTTGTACCCTTACTGTGTGATGTGATGTTCCTGTCCTGTTCCTGTTCTGGTGCTGATGAGTGTCAAGGGTAGAGGGATGTGAATTGTGTGAAACCTCAAGTACCGTTATACATCTGTTTCTTTGTTGTTGTGGTGTGGCAGTCATATGTTGTGGAGTACTCCTCACCCAGGGGACAGCATGTGAACCCAGTGGCCAAGTATGTGCCCCCAGTGGCCAAGTAAAGGGGAATTGATCAATTTCCCGTAGGAAGTTCCTCAATAACGCTACAGCTCTTGATAGAACCACCCATTCCATGACAATGTCAGGGTGGATATTCCTGGACGTTTGTTTTTTCTGTACATTATTATGCGAGGAGAGTATTGCTGGAACTGAGACCTTGCTTTCTTTCTCGGAGTTGGCATGAAGGAGAATGATAAGAAATCTTAGCTTCAATGCAGAAGTGTATCGCGCCAGAATGTGTGCCGGAACATGACTCCCTTGAGAATCTCCTTCATTGGCTTCGTTGACTGGCTTCGTTGACTGGCAAGGTAGAGATTTTCGTTGAGGAATCCTCCTTCCGGTGCAATATATTTCATGGGGACCTGGGCCATGGGTGTCGCCAAAGGATTCTCCACATCAGTGTGGGATGGGAAACGATGTTGACCCATTCCATTTATTTGACCCATCAATAGCGGTTCAGTGCGTTCAGAAAGCCCGATGGCATGGGATGCGAAGAATGCTTCCGCTCGAAATTCGTCAGGCGGTTCGTGAGTCGTAGCCTGTCGATTTCTCCGCAGAGTCGTCGAGTTGTCCGCAGCGTCGCTGGCTGCTTGTCACCATCGGTAATGCCGCTAGCGACGTCCAGCAGAGAGAGTCAGCAGCAGCGAATCAGCGATCACGACGAGGTTGCTCCGTCGAAGTCGACTGACCGTCGATTTCCCCAGCATGACAACCGGCAGTCAAATTCAAAGATACTGTACCATTAGATGCATCCCGACGGAAAAGCATTTCGACGGATATTTCGAAAAGTACACAAGCAGACGATGGTCTCTAGGTTTCTGTTTCCCCTCACACGCGCGAGATGACATGATCCTGTACTTTGAACGGGCATACTGTACCGTCCCTATCAGGCACGGCAGGATCACTGACAGCAGATGAAAGAACGGCTCCATTCATTCTCGCGGTGTTGACTCGCCAGTCGCTATGGTCCGAGCATTGCCTAGTAGCACCGAGATGGCACTGATGTTGTCTGGTCATCACGGCAGGGAATGCGCTCCAGAATTCGGCTTCAAAGTCCGACTAGGAGTTGGTGACGTTGACGTAAGACTAGTGACGTCCAGGAATTCTCCGTCAACGTCCCGCTCCGACCAGCAACGTTGCTGGACGAGTTCCATGTGCAATTTGCGCTTAGTCGTACCAGCACACTCGTCCAGAACAGGTGATGTCCGCATCTGACGCGGAAACATCGCTTACAAGACCTGTGCTATTGATCAGTCTCCACCTGAGATAACTGGCTAGCAGCCATCTCGAAGAGAAACAATTCAGCTTCTCTTCAATCAGCAGGCGTGAAAGAAGTGACCGAGTCTGCTGATTGAGTGAAGTGAACGAGATTGAACACCTGAGTTGAGACTTCTCACAAGCCTCGTTCTTATCACAACTGCCTAGTGTACAGCGAAAGGCTGTCTGGTTGTCTTCTCAATTTACTACCTGAGCAGTGTTTGTATGCGAAAGCAGTCTGGAGTGAATCTGTTCTTGTTCCATCTATTGGCGGCTTCAGCTTTCCACCTGCAGCGCAGCGCAGTGCAGCACAATGCGGTGCAGTGCAGTGTAGTGTGCATACTTCCTAATTGCTGAAGACCAGAGGGCCTTAGATTCTGCCACTGCCAGATTTTACAAAGGGCAGATTCTGCATACGGTAAGGATTGCTTGCTGCTGTGAAATTGGATTGCTTAATATCAAGTTATGACAATCACCCTGCATCCATTTCAGGAACTGCGAACTCACAACGTGACGCTTTGCTGCTGGACTCACATTGATATAGGTCGGTGTGTTGACATTGGGAACCTCGGCCTCTCGGTCAGAGCGGTGTGATCGCCGTGTTGTGATTGCAGCAAATACAAGTAAAGTCATCAGTACTACCATCCCGGCTCAACACCAGCAGAAGCTCCAGCAGTACCATCTGGAATAACACCACAAGAAACTCAGTCAATCAGCCTCCAGCATCCAGCATCCAGCAAGATTTCAACATGGCAAAGCCGGCACCATCCGAGCACGCGCTCGATATCCCTCCTGAAACTCCTCCACACCTTCCTTACAATCACATTATCACCAACCCCTTGGGCGCTACTGACCGAGACCTGAACAGGCATATGGTGCAATTTGCTCCTTCAACCTTTCTGGAAGCTACTGAACTTCCAGCTCCAGTTACCTCTCCACTCGCTCCACTTCCCAACACTTCCTCCCCAGTGTCAGCTTCTAGTGGGAATGCCCTCTCTCCTCCCCTCCTCTCTCCTCCCCTCCTCTCTCCTTCCCTCCGATCCTCTCCTCCCTCCACCACCTCCTCTCTCTCCTTCCACAATATCTCCTACTCAGTCCCTTTCCGACGCCATCCCCTAGCCTTCCTCCCTGCCATCCCCTCCCTCTGCTCCTCCACTGCTCGCAGCAGCACTGCTGCAGATGCTCCCACTGATGCGCCTGCGCATACCCCTCGACACAGTCACGCTGCACACTATCACAATCAGCAGTCGCCCAAGCAGCAGCAGCACCAGCAGCAGCAGCAGCAGCAGCAGCAGCAGCAGCAGCAGCAGCAGCAGCAGCAGCAGCAGCAGCAGCAGCAGCAGCAGCAGCAGCAGCAGCAGCAGCAGCATCAGCAGCAGCACCACCAGCAGCAGCAGCAGCAGCACCACCACCAGCAGCAGCAGCAGCAGCAGCAGGCGCACCATCCTACAAGGGATATCAGGGTCTGCCCAAGCAGGGCAAGTAACAGCAATCATGGGCGCCAGTGGGTCTGGCAAAACCACTCTTCTAGACATCCTCTCGCACCGCATCTCCCTCCCATCCGCACCACTTCAAATTCCATCTGCACCAGAACCGCTTCCTTCACCTTCCGCTTCTCCACCTCCTGACACCCCACCCTCAATAACTGCCCTCCCAACTCCCACCACCGCCCTCTCCCCTTCAATAACTCTGAACGGGGCACCTGTGACAGCCAGCATCATGAGGCGAGTGTCAGCCTATGTGATGCAGGACGACCTGCTGTTCCCTGCGCTCACAGTGCGCGAGACACTGCTTTTTGCCGCTGAGCTGAGGCTGGGGAATGGCAGGGTGGGGAGGAGGGAGAAGGAGGAGAAGGTGGAGGGGCTGATGCGCCTGCTGGGGCTCACTCGAGTGGCGGACTCGCGCATTGGGGATGAGAACAGGAGGTACGTGAAGCGTTGGGAAGAGACAGGTGTGATCTTGTATGGAGAGGTGGAGGGGCTGATGCGCCTGCTGGGGCTCACTCGAGTGGCGGACTCTCAAATCGGGGATGAGAACAGGAGGTATGTGTCACATGTCACATCATCAGGGGATAATTGAGCGGTGAGGGCAAGAGGGTGGCGATAGTACTGACTCCACGGGAAGGGCCCGTGCTGCGGCTATTACTGACCCCAGACTACTCTCTTCCTGCCCGTATTCCTCTCTCCTCTCTCCCCTCATTCTCTGCGATACCTCTTCTCTCCTTCTCAGGAGCGTGTCGGGTGGCGAGTGCAAGAGGGTGGCGATAGGAGTGGAGATGGTGGGAGACCCCAAGCAGACTTCACACCTCACTCAATCCAACATTCTTCTCACCTCTCCCGTTTACTCGTTTCCCTTCAGGGGTGTATCAGGCGGCGAGCGCAAGCGGGTGGCGATAGGAGTGGAGATGGTGGGGGACCCCTCGCTGCTCTTAGTACTCAAACCATGCTACTCCCTCTCTTCCTCTCCCTTCATTCGCTCGTTTTCTCATCTCAGGGGTGTATCAGGCGGCGAGCGCAAGAGAGTAGCAATAGGGGTGGAGATGGTGGGGGACCCCTCGCTGCTCTTCCTGGACGAGCCCTCCTCGGGCCTCGACTCTACCTGTGCCTTCCACGCGCGCTCGCTCCAACCAACCATCCCCTCCCTTACCCTCCTCTCCTCTCCCTTCAGGGGTGTGTCGGGTGGCGAGCGCAAGAGAGTAGCGATAGGGGTGGAGATGGTGGGAGACCCCTCGCTGCTCTTCCTGGACGAGCCCTCCTCGGGCCTCGACTCTACCTGTGCCTTCCACGCGCGCTCCAACCAACCATCCCCTCCCTTACCCTCCTCTCCTCTCCCTTCAGGGGTGTGTCGGGTGGCGAGCGCAAGAGAGTGGCAATAGGAGTGGAGATGGTGGGAGACCCCTCGCTGCTCTTCCTGGACGAGCCCTCCTCGGGCCTCGACTCTACCTGTGCCTTCCACGCGCGCTCCAACCAACCATCCCCTCCCTTACCCTCCTCTCCTCTCCCTTCAGGGGTGTGTCGGGTGGCGAGCGCAAGAGAGTAGCGATAGGAGTGGAGATGGTGGGAGACCCCTCGCTGCTCTTCCTAGACGAGCCCACCTCTGGCCTCGACTCCACCTGTGCCTTCCACGTGGTCAAGGCAGTCAGAGACGTGGCGAGACTGCGCCAGAGCATAGTTCTTATGGTGCTGCACCAGGTGAGGCTTGGATGCAGATGATGGAAGGCGATCCATGCACCAGGTGAGGCATGGATGCAATGCAGATGACGCATAGAGCACCAGGTGACTCTAGAGTTGATTGCTGCTCTTCCTGGATGAGCCCACCTCTGGTCTCGACTCCACCTGTGCCTTCCACGTGGTCAAGGCAGTCAGAGACGTGGCGAGACTGCGCCAGAGCATAGTTCTTATGGTGCTGCACCAGGTGAGGCATGGATGCAGATGAGGCATAGAGCACCAGGTGAGGCATGGATGCAGATGAGGCATAGAGCACCAGGTGAGGCATGGATGCAATGCAGATGACGCATAGAGCACCAGGTGACTCTAGAGTTGATTGCTGCTCTTCCTGGATGAGCCCACCTCTGGTCTCGACTCCACCTGTGCCTTCCACGTGGTCAAGGCAGTCAGAGACGTGGCGAGACTGCGCCAGAGCATAGTTCTTATGGTGCTGCACCAGGTGAGGCATGCATGCAATGCAGATGACGCATAGAGCACCTGGTGACTCTATAGTTGATTGCTGCTCTTCCTGGATGAGCCCACGTCTGGCCTCGACTCCACCTGTGCCTTCCACGTGGTCAAGGCAGTCCGGGACGTGGCCAGATTGCGAAGCAGCATTGTGCTCATGGTGCTGCACCAGGTGAGTGTAACCTATAGCACCAGGGTAGGGGGGATGGGGATCCATCCATGCAATCTGAGGCGCAGTTTCAGTGTCCTCAAACTCCTCCACAATCTCGTTTCTCTTACCTATGTTTTTCTTCCTGACCATTCGTCCCCCTTGTCCCCCCCCCCTTCGCCCCCTTTGTACCCAATGCTTCCAGCCCAGTTTCAGGGTCCTCAATCTCCTGGACAACCTCCATCTTGAACACACTCTCCACTGAACATTTATGCCTCCCACTACCTTGTCCCTCTTTCCCCTCATACCGTCGTCCCCCTTGCACCCAATACCTCCAGCCCAGTTTCAGGGTCCTCAATCTCCTCGACAACCTCCTTCTCCTTGGATCTGGGCATACGGTTTTTTCAGGCTGCCCGTCCGAGCTGCCAGGCTACCTCACGGATTTTGGCTGCCCGGCTCCGCCGTTTTCCAACCCAGTGGAATTCACCCTTGATCTGATCCAGTCGTTGCAGATGGAGGGGCAGCAGGAAGGGCAGGGGGGGCTGGGACTGGAGGGAGGACTGGGAGGATTGGGAGTGACGAGAGGTCAGCAAGGGGAAACAGTGGGGACAGAGGGAAATGAGGGGCAGGAGGGAAAGGAAAGCTTGAAGGGAAGAGAGGAGCAGGACGTAGAGGCACAGGATGGTGTGAAGATGAGCGGTGTGGCACAACAATCAAACGGCGGCGCTGATACACCTGGCATCCAGCGATTGGCTGAGTTTCATCGGGAGTGGGTGAGACTGAAGGGGATAGGAGAAGGAGCGGGTGTGGAAATCAACCTTCAAGAAGCAGTGGGAGAGCGAGGAGCAGAGGTTGGTCAATGGGAAGGAGATGGAAAGAAGAGCAAGAGTGGCTCCTCTGAGAGTGGAGACGAGAACAGGAGCAGGAGCCAGAGTGGGTCGGATATTCCCTCTTTGGAACTGGCTACAAGTTCCAGTGACAAGAGCACTATGAGCACGAGTAGTAGCAGCACGAGCATCAGCAGCACCAACACCAGCACTAGCAGTACGACCAACGAACAGAAAGGGCAGGAGGATCAGGAGCAGCAACTGGGCGACGAGAGAGAGGAGGCGGAAGAGGTGGAAGGGCAGGGAAGTGTGAGGAAGCAGCAGGGAAAGTATGCAAACGGGTGGTGGCGGGAGCTGTGGGTCCTGACAGCCCGGTCGGCTATTGTGATCCGAAGGACGCCAGCACTGTACCTGCTGCGCCTGCTGCTTATCATGATAACGGGTCTGCTTATAGCGTCGCTCTTCTGGCAGCCAGAGTTCAAGTGAGTCAAACACTTCAATCTACTCAGGAAGGTGTGTCGAGGTCAACACTCGCTCCCTCCCTCCCTCCCTCCCTCCCTCCCTCCCTCCCTCCCTCCCTCCCTCCCTTACTCCATCCATCCCTCCTTAATTGCCGTTTTCCCCTTCCCCCTCCTCCACTCCCCCACACCACAGCACACGCGGGGTGCATGAGCGCCTGGCCTTCATTGCCTTCCTCACATGCACGCTCTTCTTCTCCTCTGGGGACGCCACACCTCTATTCATACAAGTGAGTCGTGATTCGTTGCACCTGGTTGACTCAGTCAGCTCAGATGTCCTCACATGCACGCTCTTTTTCTCCTCAGGGGATGCAACTCCCCTCTTCATACAGGTGAGTCTTGACCGTTGACTCGGTTGACCCAGTTAGACTCAGTCTTTTATCTTGTGGATGTTCATCTCACTCAGTAGTCATGCCTATTCTTGTGTTCTCCAACGACCAGGAGGGCAAGATTTGTCCGTGTGAGTCCACACCCCGCTCCCCCCTCTTCAACGCTCCCCCCCCCTCCCAGGAGCGCAACATATTTGTGAGGGAGACCACGCACAACGCGTACCGCCCGTCCACCTACCTGCTCGCCTCCACCCTCGTCTACCTGCCGCTGCACCTCCTCATGTCCCTCGATATTATTCTGGAGGCCTGGTGGTGCCTCAGCCTCACAGGGGGGCTCGGAAGGGTTGGTCTTTATGGTCCTCGTGGTGCCTCCCTGCTTACTCGCAGTCCCTGTTGCGCCCTTCCCCCTACGTTCTCCCCCCCCCCCCTCCCAGGAGCGCAACATATTTGTGAGGGAGACGACGCACAGCGCGTACCGCCCGTCCACGTACCTGCTCGCCTCCACCCTCGTCTACCTGCCGCTGCACCTCCTCATGTCCCTCGCCATCACTCTCGAAGCCTGGTGGTGCCTTAGCCTCACTGGGGGAGCTGCAGGGCTGGCCTTCATGGTGCTTGTGTGCTTCTGCTGCCTCTTCACGGGGAATGCCATTGCCACCTTCGTTAGTGCCACAGTCAACAAGTACGTGTTTCATTCCTTTTTTTTTCCTTACATGTGCTCATAATTTTCCTCTCTCTCCCTTGCCCCCTCCCTCCATTCTCCCCTCACCTTATTCCTCACTTCGTTTCTTCCATCATTCTTCATTATACTTCCACCCCTTCCCCCCCCCTCTCTTTCCGACAATCATCACCCACACAGTGTCATTCTCGCCTATGCGGTGGTCATCACTGTTTTGGCAAACTTTGCCCTTGTCTGCGGCTTCTATATTGAGCGAGCCAGCATCCCCTTGTACTGGCTCTGGCTACACTACATATCTCCTCTGAAATATGCTTATGAGGCGCTTGCTCTTAATGAGTTTGACCGGGTGACCTCGCTCTGCTACCTTTCTGCACGTGATATCTACTCCTCTACACCACTGTCAGTTCTGCTCGATGAGGTGGATGTTCAAAGGTCACTCGTTGCACTGCGTCCTGCTCTGATTGACTCCCCGTTTGCTGAGGTGTCAACATCCACCTGTCTTCAGACTGGTCCTGAGCTGGCAGCATTTTATCTGGGCCTAACACAGCTTGACAAGTGGCAATGTGTGGCTATCCTCCTAGGCATTGGGCTTGTGTTGCGGCTTGCTCATTTCTTCCTGTTGACAAGGCTCTGCCGCTCTACACGTCATTGATGATCCAGCATTTTCTTCTGTCATGTTCGATTCATGTTTGATATCTGAAATGACACACTGCTGATTTTTCACATTATATGGTTGTGCCCTCTTGTCACATTCTGGTAATCTCGTTATCTAACTTCATTATTGTAACATCTTCGCGCCACGAACATCGCTTGTCAGTGGAAATCGCCAACAATCTTTCCGTGCCCTTGGAGGGACCGTTTTCCCGCCAATCTGTCAAGCTGTGCCGCTACTAGCCTCTCCTTTGTACTGTACAAAGCCTGTCAAATTCATCGTGTTCCGGCTTCGGCTTCCATTTTTCTCACCTTGAAAGTGTCGCCAGAAAGCCTAGAAAGTGTCGTGTCAACCATCATCGTCAGATTATGGCGACTATTCCATGCTTCCAGTCCTATGCTCCAAGCTTTCGGGTCGGTGTCGGAGGGTAGAGTAGTCGGCCGTTCATTGATCATCTTCGCCTGCCAGCTTAGTCGAAGCTCGTTTTACGGTATACGTTCAGTTCGTTTTGGACTTTCAGAGAATCCCGCAGGCTCTCTTGTCCTGACGAATTATTGAAGGTCCAGGCTCACGCAGATTCGCGAGGCTGATGGACCTGCCGTAGACCGTTGCTGAAGCGTACCGTTCACAATCTTGATTTAACTGCTTGTCGGTATTCGAATCAGCTAGTATCGAGGATTTCCCTGGTCTGCAGAAGCAGCAGCAGCCATGGATTGGTTCTCGGCGCAGGTGACGTCGTTCGGGCTGGGAGAGCTCCCGGACATTGCGGGAGCCGTGAACAAGCTGAGCGAAACGGTTATGAACATCGATACGTCGGGATTCGACGGCGGACTCGGTCTCGACTTCCTCCCTCCTGTAATCGAAGGTTCGACCCACCCTTATGTCGATTTGTCTAGCACTGCTGCCTTTCAAAGCATGAGGTGAACAAGCTGAGGGAAACGGTTATGAACATCGATACGTCGGGATTCGACGACGGGCTTGGTCTCAAATTCCTCTCTCCTGTCATGGAAGGTTCGAACCCAGTTACCCAGCCTTTTAGGCCTTCGATTTTATCATCCATGAATACGATGGTTTTTTACCCCAGTTTTGGTGATTCTAGAGTTGAATGGCAGTGAATGGCGTTCGTATTCTTTGCAGTGTGCCTGATTTCCGATGCAGGTATGTGGTACGATCAGCTAAGCTTGGTTACGGGAAACGTTTTTTTTGCAAAACGGCCTTTATCTTTCGACTTCGAATCGTCATTTTCCGCCTCGCCTTTAGTTCGGCTCATTATGTGTCAGACTTAGCTTGCGTTTATTCTGGCCTTTAATGTATTCCTCCGATTCTTCCCTGCTTGATTCTTGATCTAAACATTTGTTTCGTTTCTCGTGTCTTTTCTGTTACCCCGTGTCTTCATCAAATTCCGTACGCATTTCAGACAAGCCAGCAGCGAGCTCGTCTTCTCAGGCGACCAAGCCCAGAGCAACCACAGGTGGCGCTCGAACTGCTCCTCCCGCTGCCTCCACATATCTGATTCTCTTCTCTTTTCCCTTATCTCCCATCATACTCCCATACGCATTTCAGACAAGCCAGCAGCGAGCTCATCCTCTCAGTCTCAGACGACCAAGCCCAGAGCAACCACAGATGGCGCTCGAACAGCTCCCGTTCCTTCCACAGCCACCGCTCGAGCTTCTGCTCCTGCCGCCACTGCTCCTTCTGCCGCTTCTCCAGCGAAAGCTAAGGCCCAGGAGGCGTCAGCGGGCTCTAAAACACCCGAGAAAGCAGCTCCAAAGCCGGTCACTGAAGCAGCTCAAGCCTCCCCTGCGAGAAGCGCTGCACCAGCAGCAGCAGGGGAAGGTTCAGCAGCAGGGGGAGCGACAGGGGTGTCGGCTAAGGGAAAGGAAGCAGAGGTGAAGGTGGCAGGGGGTGGAGGTGCGAAGCTGGAGGGTAGGCTTGGAGCGAAGAAGCTGGGAGCTAGCAAGCTGACTCGGCCCCTGCGACCTGCTGCTAAGAGTACTGCTGCTTCTGCTGCACCTCCTCCTGCTGCTGCTGCTGCACCTCCTGCTGCTACTGATACAGCTGCTGCTACTGCTGCTGCTACTGCTGCTGGGTCGCAAGGGGCTGAGGCCTTGGCTGATGATAAAGGCAGTGAGGGGAAGGACGAAGTGGTAAAGGAGGAGGAGAAGAAGGTGGAGAAGAAGCCGACCAAGATAGTGAAGCTAGTCAAAGGAAAGCTCACCAAGCCGCAGGATGAGGCCGAAGCAGCAGCAGCAGCAGCAGCAGCAGCAGCAGCAGCAGCAGGCGGTGAGGCTACCTTAGTGACATCTGCAGCTGCACCAATCGTGTCACCGGCCTTGGATACACCAACTGTGTTAGCAGCAGGAGACGCAGCAACAGTGCCAGCCGCAACACCAGGAGTTGAGTCTCCCTCCCAGATAGCACCACCAGCAGTGGTAGAAAACCAGGAGGGATCAAGCGATGCTGTGAAAGGAGCAAGCGACGCAGTGAAGGTAGAAGAAGACGAGGAGGGAGGAACAGGGTGGGCAATAGATGAGCCAGAGTCTGAATCAGCAGCTGCTACGGTTTCTGCATCCGCTGCCCCCGAGCCTGTTGCTGCGGCTACGGCAGTTTCTGCCGAAGCTGCTGCCAAACTGGAGGTCGAGGGAGACCCCAAACCTACACCAGGTTTGGCAGATGGCGGAGCTGTTGCAGGAATTGGAGGGGATCAGGCAGAGGAAGGAGAGGGGTGGGCTGAAGTGATTGAAGAGGATGATGTTATAACGAACGGGGGAGATGCAGTTTTTCCTGGTACAGATGCTGGATCGAAAGATGTCTATAAGAAGTCAGAGGATGCTGCAGGAGATGACGCTGCTGGCGCTGGTGCTACGGACAGTGCTGCTGTTGATGCTGGTGCTGGGGCGGATACTGGGGCAGGTGAGGACGGTTCATCAGCTGCTGCGGCAGCAGCTAATGATTCGGCCACGCCTCTGCCGTTCAGCGGGTTCGAAGCAGCATCAGAGGCGGTTTTCAGCATAGACGACGGGGAGGGGGAGGGAGAGGAGGACGGGGAGGGTGCCCCTGCGCCTTCCCCCATCAAACCCTCCCTGTCTCCACCAGTTAGATCGCCGATCAAGTCACCAGTCAGATCACCATTCCGTGATGCTTCTTCTTCTGCATTCTCTGCGTCTCCCGCAGCAGCTGCCGCCACTGTCCCTCTCGTTCCTGTTGCTGCTAGCCCTAAAGCGGATGGTGCTCAGGCGGCTTCGGAAATCGAGCCAGCAGCAGGTGAAGAAGCAGCTGCAGAGAGGGGGCCTGCAGCTGAGAGCGGTTCTGATGCTTCTGCAGCAGCAGTTTTTTCCATTGCTGGGGGAGAAGAGGGCTCTGAAGCTGATGCACAGGCGAGTGAAGAGGGAAGGGTGTCTTTGAATCAGGAATCAGGGGCAGAGGAGGAGAAAATGGTAACGCAGAATGTCGAAGGAGGAGAGGCAGACGGAGGGGAGGCAGATGCAGGGGAGGGACATGCAGGGGAGGCTGGGTCAGAGGAGGCGGGCTCAGAGGAGGCAGTCCCAGGGAAGGATGATGGGGAGGGGGCGGATGTGCCGTCAGAAGAAAGACTGGCGTCTGCTGCTGCAGCCACTGCTGAAGCTTCCCAAGCTGCCGCAGCTTCTGGCGAAGCTACTGAAGCTGAAGCTGCTGAAGCTGTGGCAGCTACTGAAGCTGAAGCTGCTGAAGCTACTGAAGCTGTGGCAGGTTCTGAAGCTGTGGCAGCTGCTGAATCTGCTCAAGAGGGAGGGGAAGGAGCGTGGGGAGAAGGAGGGCATGCTACTGCTGGGAATGGCCTTGTGAGCCCGGTTGTGGAAGAAGTTCAGGTTGAGAAAATGGAAGGAGTTGAGAACGTGGGTGCAGTTGTTTCGGATGGGAATAGATGGGCTGTGGGCAGCAGTGGGGCTGGGGAAGGTTCGGTTTCTGCTGGTGGAGGTCCAAGGGAGGAGGGGCCAGCTGGGCTGGTTAATGGGGAGGGTGTGGGAGGCGCAGCAGGTGCAGGAGCAGGGGAATTTACAACGGGTGCAGTTGCCTTAGTGGATGCTGTAGTGGCAGGGACGGTGGGAGGTGACTCTGCAGCAGAACTACCAGCAGCAGAAGCGCCTGCTGAAACAAGCAGCAGCAGCTGCTGCTGAAGAAGGTTCGTCCATTGAAGCGGCAGCATCTGCTGCAGCAGCAGCAGAAGCACTGTCTACTGAAACGGCAGCAGCAGCAGCAGCAGCAGCAGCGACGGCAGCAGAAGCCCTGTCTACAGAAAAAGCGTCATCAGCGGCAGCGGCAGCAGTGGCAGAGGCTCTTTCGTCTGAGCTCCAAGCGGAGTTGGTGAGAGTGAAAATGGAACTGGCGACTATGGAGAGCGCACTGCAGCATGCGGGCAAGCAGGCGCAGACCAAGGCGGACGAACTCGCCAAAGCAATGACAGTTAATGATGAGCTCCGGGCCGAACTGGAGGACTGGAAGGTGAGAGTGGGGGAATGGTAGGTGGAGCAGTCGATTGGAATGTGGTGTGTTGTGTGCAGTTGCTGGTGAGTGAATGCGAGCTCGTTACTATGAGAGATGCACAGCAGTTACGCTGGTGGGAGTGAAGATGGAACTGGCGACTATGGAGAGAGCACTGCAGCATGCGGGCAAGCAGGCTCAGGCCAAGGCGGACGAACTGGCCAAAGCGATGACAGTTAACGATGAACTTCGGGCCGAACTGGAGGACTGGAAGGTGAGAGTGGGAGAATGGTAGGTGAAGCAGTGGATTGGAATGTGGTGTGTTGTGTGCAGTTGCTGGTGAGTGAATGCGAGCTCGTTACTATGAGAGATGCACAGCAGTTACGCTGGTGGGAGTGAAGATGGAACTGGCGACTATGGAGAGAGCACTGCAGAATGCGGGCTAGCAGGCACAGACCAAGGCGGACGAACTGGCGAGAGCGATGACTGTGAATGATGAACTTCGGGCCGAACTGGAGGGCTGGAAGGTGAGGTTCGGAATAGGCTCGGAGAATGGTCCTCTCCTCCTCCGTTTCCTTCCCCTCACACCGTTCCCTTAACATGTCCTTCGACCTTCCGCACCCTTCCATACTGTTTCGCTTACCAGTACTATTGATATTAATAAAAAGAGCATTGCACCCCATCCCCTTTGTTGTGTCTGTTTCCCCCTACCTTCGCTTCTGTTCTTATTCACTTGGGCAGGTGAAAAAGAACAATGACGCGGAACTAGAAGCCCTACGGGAGGAGTACCAGCACCGACTTGGGGCAGCTGAAAGAAAGGTGGGTGCTGGGCCAGGCAGCTTCCGTTTCTATCCATGTAATCTTCGTGATGCATTGTATCATATGCGTCAACTGAGCGGCGTTGATTTTGCAACTCCCACAACTTCCCTGCACACACACGTGTGTAACCAGTAGCCATGTAACCAATAGCCACCTTTGCTCCTTCCAGGTGTACGCGCTGACCAAGGAGCGGGACATGCTGCGGCGGGAGCAGAGCCGCAAGGCAGAGTGCCTTTGATTCGTGCCACCTGAGACGCCCCTCCCAACTCTGTATCTGTGTACACCTTTTCTCCGTTCAGGTGTTCGCTTTGACTAAGGAGCGGGACATGCTGCGGCGGGAGCAGAGCTGGAATTCTGGGTGGCCGTGAATCACCTCCAACCCCCCCGTTACATGCATGCTATTCAGCTCCTCATGTGCTTATCACCCCCACCACCTTTCTGCACTCCAGGCGTATGCGTCTGACCAAGGAGAGGGATAGCTGCGGCGGGAGCAGAGCTGGAATTCTGGGTGGCCGTGAATCACCTCCAACCCCCCCGTTACATGCATGCTATTCAGCTCCTCATGTGCTTATCACCCCCACCACCTTTCTGCACTCCAGGCGTATGCGTCTGACCAAGGAGAGGGATAGCTGCGGCCGGAGCAGAGCCGCAAGGCCGAATAGCTTGGACTTGCCTCCATCTCCCCTCTCGCATGCTCACTTGCCCTCCGTTATTCCACCATCTCTTCTCCTTACAGGTGTATGCTCTGACCAAGGAGTGGGACATGCTGCGGCGGGAGCAGAGCCGGAAGGCTGACTAGCCTTCCACTTGGCTCCAACCCCCCTCGCACGCGCACTATCACTCATATCCTTATTACTCCTACCTCCACACCATTCCAGGTGTACGCTCTGACCAAGGAGCGGGACATGCTGCGGCGGGAGCAGAGCCGCAAGGCTGACACATCGACGCTTCTGAAGGAGAAGGATGAGATTATTCGTCAGGTCATGGCAGAAGGTGGGTGGGATTGACTCCTACTCTCCGAATCATGCCCACATGAGTGGTGTCTCAATGCCCTCACTCATGTCGTCTGTGCTTCTCTCTCCCACACTTGTATGAGCGAAAAAATGAGTGAAAATGTAGCCCGTGTATCTCTCACTCACTCATCAACTCACTCACTCACTCACTCACTCACTCACTCACTCACATGAACGTACCACCTCTTGCAATGACACGTATCTATTGCTGTGCGCGTCTCTTGTCACTGTGCAGGCGAGGAACTTTCCAAGAAGCAGGCAGCGCAGGAAGCAGCTATGAAGAAGCTCCGCACTCAGGTAGGTGCATCGTCATGGTGATGAACACGCCATTCCATCATGGTGATGATGCCTTAGACCAGCCAACTCTACCCTTGCTGACGCGTCTATATAGCCGCTGACGCGCCACCTTGCTTCTTCGCGGGGTCAAGAGAAGCCTCTTGCGTCACGTGCTGGAGGCCGCAGAGCCGACGCAAACAGATTTCGATATAAGCGAGAGTGGCGGGTTAATACCTTAGTCGAAGAAGAGGATGATGACGTGGCCCAGCCCGACTTTCCATGCTATGAACGTGCGCCTTACATGGAAAGTTAGCTGAGCCACGTCATCGTCCTCTTTTTCGACCGGGGTAGTAACTCGGCATTCTCGCTTATATCGGAATCTGTTTGCGTCGGCTCCGCGGCCTCCAGCACGTGACGCAAGGAGGCTCTCTCGACCCCGTGAAGTAGCAAGGAGGCGCGACATCGGCTATACAGACGCGTCAGCAAGGGTGGAGTTAACCGGTCCAAAGCATCATCACCATGATGGGATGACGAGTCTTTTGGCGCTTGTTTTCAGATACCAACTTGACGATACGTGTTCCCAGCCATGTTCCTCCTCGTTCCTCTCCTGCTCTCTTTTTCCCTTCCCTTCTCTTCTCCTCTCCCTATAATCTCGGCTCAGTTGGAGAAAAGGGAAGAGGCTCGATAGAAGAGCTTTAAGAAGGACAAAGCAGCTGCCAAAAAGGCTCTTCGATGGAGCATCATGAAAACAAGCTCTCGTCCTTCCCTTCTTCTTCCTCGCTTTGCCCTTCTCTTTTTTACAGCTCCGAGAGATGGAGGAGGAGAGGACCCGGCTACAAAATCGGCTCCAGGTGGAAGAGGCTCGAGTGGAGAGCATAAAGAAAGACAAAGCAGCCACCGAAAAGGCCCTTCAGGACGCTGTAGAGCGCAAGCAAGCTGATCTCGCCGCCCAAAAAGACTTCTACGTTTCTGCCCTTTCAGCTGCCCGGGAGGCGCAGGCAGCAGCAGAGGCGCGGGCGGACAGCGAAGCAAAGGCGGAGGCGGAGAGGAAGTTGAGGGAGGCGGGGGAGAGGGAGAGGGCGCTGGTGATGACTGTGGAGGAGCTCAGGCAGGCTCTCACGCGCAGCGAGCAGCAGGCAGGGTTCCGCGAGCAGATGCTCAGAAGGGACCTTGAGGATATGGAGAAGCGATGCCAGGTGTGTGAATTGGATACCCCCTTCTCGCTTGCCACCTTTGAGTTGCAAGGAATGTCACGGGGAGCGAGTAGCAGGCGGGGTTCCGAGAGCAGATGCTCAGAAGGGACCAGGAGGATATGGAGAAGCGATGCCAGGTGTGTGAATTGGATACCCCCTTCTCGCTTGCCACCTTTGAGTTGCAAGGAATGTCACGAGGAGCGAGTAGCAGGCGGGGTTCCGAGAGCATATGCTCAGAAGGGACCAGGAGGATGTGGAGAGGCGATGCCAGGTGGGTTTATTCCTTGTCTAGCAAGGCAGGTGGGATTCAAGGGAGCAGATGTTGGAGAAGAGAAGAGGTGCAATGTGAGTGCAAGTGAGTGCAATGTGAGTAGTGTTTTGCTCTAGCCTGAACCTAAGTACTGCCGCTCACTGGAAAATGTCCGAGGATCTTCCTACTTGCTCTAGCCTGAACCTAAGTACTGCCGCTCACTGGAAAATGTCCGAGGATCTTCCTACTTGCTCTAGCCTGAACCTAAGTACTGCCGCTCACTGGAAAATGTCCGAGGAAGAGAAGAGGTGCAATGTGAGTGCAAGTGAGTGTTGAGGGGTCTGGGCTCAAAATGACTGTTGGGGGGCGCTGGTGATGACTGTGGAGGAGCTCATGCAGGCTCTGACTCGCAGCGAGCAGCATGCCGGGTTTTGGGAGCAGATGCTACGGAGGGATCTGGAGGACATGGAGAAGTGATGCCAGGTGGGTTCATATTATCGTTGATTCAGAGTAGCTTGTGTGTCCTGAGTCCGCTCAAGCGGCAGGCTCTCACGCGAAGCGAGCAGCAGGCAGGGTTCCGAGAGCAGATGCTGTGGAGGGACCTGAAGGACATGGAGAAGTGATGCCAGGTGAGTTTATGTATCGTTGATTCAGAGTAGCTTGTGTCTTCCGAGTCGGCTCAAGAGGCAGGCTCTGACTCGCAGCAAGCAGCAGGCGGGGTTCCGCGAGCAGATGCTGCGGAGGGACTTGGAGGATATGGAGAAGCGATGCCAGCCAGATGAGTCCAAAACGCTCTTTCTCCCCCTTCTCTTCACCCGTTTTCATTGAGGTCGTTTTTGAGGCGCCTCAAAAACGACCTCAGATGAGTCCAAAACGCTCTTTCTCCCCCTTCTCTTCACCCGTTTTCGCAACCAATGGTTGTCTCTCTGCCGTAACCTTGCTGCCCTTTCCTGTTTTGCCACTCCTAACCGACCACCTTTCTCCGAACCTTATCACTCCCCTCTGTATCCGCCACCCCGAGCCAGGCAGCGGAGGCTCGGCATGAGGAGCTGGTGGCTCGGATACCAGAGTCGACCCGCCCGCTGCTGCGGCAGATAGAGGCGATGCAGGAGTCTGCTAACACACGCATGGAGGCTCTTTCGGGGGTGGAGAGGGCGCTGAACGCCAGACTGCAGGTATGCTTGAGTGGGAGTGGTTTCCAGTGCGAAGAGAGTGTGTTTGTTGAGTCGACTTTAGCGCCCCCTGCTGCGGCAGATAGAGGTGATGCAGGAGTTGGCCAACACGCGCATGGAGGCTCTTCTTGGTGTGTCGCTTCGTCCCTCCCTCTTTCCCGCCCCCACGCCCCCCCTTTTCAAGAAGCAGAGGCGAAGGTGGCAGTAGCTGAGTTCGTTGATTTTCATGGCTCTTCCCACTCTCTTTCTCACCGCCCTTCCCCTCTGTCAGGAGGCAGAGGCGAAGGCGGCAGTGGCGGAGGAGAGGGAGCGGGTGACGAGCGAGCGGCTGAACCAGACGCTGTCCCGCCTGGCAGTCATGGAAGCCCAGCTCTCCTGCCTGCGCGCCGAGCACTCCCAGCTCTCCCGCTCCCTTGATAAGGAGCGCCAGCGGGCGGCAGAGAACAGGACGGAGTATCTGAGCGCGCAGGAGGCGAAGGTTGCGGCGGAAGGGAGGGTGAAGGTGGTGGAGGAGGAGATGAGGGAGGTGAAGGCGCGGTGGCGGAAGGAAGTGCAGGAGGAACGGCAGAGGAGGGAGCTGGTTGAACAGGTGAGTTCAGTGGTGTTAAGAATGGTTCAATCAGGTACCCCAAGGGGGATTCAGTTAGGTTGGGGGTTCAATCAGGTACCAGGAGGGGTTCAATCAGGTAGCAGCAGGAAAAGTGTAAGGGAGGGTGAAGGTGGTAGAGGAGGAGATGAGGGAGGTGAAGGCGCGGTGGCGGAAGGAAGTGCAGGAGGAACGGCAGAGGAGGGAGCTGGTTGAACAGGTGAGTTCAGTGGTGTTAAGAATGGTTCAATCAGGTACCCCAAGGGGGATTCAGTTAGGTTGGGGGTTCAATCAGGTACCAGGAGGGGTTCAATCAGGTAGCAGCAGGAAAAGTGTAAGGGAGGGTGAAGGTGGTGGAGGAGGAGATGAGGGAGGTGAAGGCGCGGTGGCGGAAGGAAGTGCAGGAGGAACGGCAGAGGAGGGAGCTGGTTGAACAGGTGAGTTTCAGGTGTTGAGATTGGTTCAATCCGGTACCAGGAGGGGCCTCAATCAAATCAGGGGGGGTTGAAAGCAGCCAGGTGCCAGGGGGAGGCTCAATCAGGTGCCTAAGGGGGAGGTGGAAGGGATGGTGACGGTGGTGGAGGAGGAGATGAGGGAGGTGAAGGCGCAGTGGCGGAAGGAAGTGCAGGAGGAACGGCAGAGGAGGGAGCTTGTTGAACAGGTGAGTTGGGTGGTGCTGCGATCGGTTCAGTCAGGTGCCAGAGCCGAGGGCTTGGGCTTGGTACGGTGTGCCAAGGCGGTGGGGGTACACAAGAGAGGATCATAAAGGACGAGATTTTAACGGAGATGATCACCAGGGGTTTCAGTCAGTCAGGTAGCAGGAGGGGAGGTGGAAGGGAGGGTGAAGGTGGTGGAGGAGGAGATGAGAGACGTGAAGGCGCTGTGGCGGAAGGAGGTGCAGGAACGGCAGAGGAGGGAGGGAGGTTGTGGAGCAGGTGAGTCGGTCAGTGGTGTTTAAAGTAGCTTCAATCTTGCCTCACTTGGAGCAGGTGAGTCGGTCAGTGGTGTTTAAAGTAGCTTCAATCTTGCCTCACTTGGAGCAGGTGAGTCGGTCAGTGGTGTTTAAAGTAGCTTCAATCTTGCCTCACTTGGAGCAGGTGAGTCGGTCAGTGGTGTTTAAAGTAGCTTCAATCTTGCCTCACTTGGAGCAGGTGAGTCGGTCAGTGATGTTTAAAGTAGCTTCAATCTTGCCTCACTTAAAGTCTTGGAGCAGGTGAGCTAGAGTTCTGGTCTCCTTTGTGTTGCCACCTCAAAACCTTGACATTTCAACTGCCCGTTTCTATCTATCTGCTAACTGCCTACACTACACGTGCCCTCTTCCTGCCCCTTCCCGTTCTCCTCCTCCCAGGAGCTGGAGAGCGAGCTGGCATCCATGGTGGTCGGCCGAGCATGAGAGGAGTCTGTACATGCAAATTCCTAAAAACCAACTCACTCGCATACTCACCCTCACCCCTGGCAGGAGCTGGAGAGTGAGCGGGCATCCATGGCTGAGCACGAGAGGAAGATTCGGGCGGAGGGGCGGGCTGCAGCGGAGAAGGCACTGGTCGCAGCACACGCAGCAGCAGGCTCCTCCTACCCCGAGCTCTCAGGTGTGTCTTGCTCGTGTGACCCGAGTGTAGCGCGTGCGTCACTTGGTGAGGGCAGCTGTTTAGAGGGCAGGGCTGCAGCGGAGAAGGCACTGGTCGCAGCGCACGCAGCAGCAGGCTCCTCCTTCCCCGAGCTCTCAGGTCTGTTTTGCTCGCCAGTCCCTAGGTCTGTTTGTGGAGAAGTGGAGGGCAGTGGCAGTGGCAGTGGCTCCTCCTACCCCAGAGCTTGCAGGTGCGAGGTTGAGGGTTTTCTATCTTGACTCTTCAGAGGGGCGGGCTGCAGCGGAGAAGGCACTGGTCGCAGCGCACGCAGCAGCAGGCTCCTCGTACCCCGAGCTCTCAGGTGAGTCCCGCCTTCTCTGACTGTAGAATACTGGAGATTTCACTGCCTGATCAGTGACCAGTGTCATTGTCCAGTGGAAGGAAGTGGAGGTTGGGACAGCTCTTCAGAAGGTTTTGTGTCAACTCAAAACTCTTCAGAAGGGACAGCTGCAGCGGAGAAGGCACTGGTCGCAGCTCGTGCAGCAGCAGGCTCCTAGTATCCCGAGCTCTCAGGTCAGTCCCGCCTTCTCTGACTGTAGAATACTGGAGATCTCACTGCCTGATCAGTGACCAGTCGTCATTTGAGACGTCTGAGAACTCTCTGCCTGATCAGTGACCAGTGTCATTGTCCAGTGGAAGGAAGTGGAGGTTGGGACAGCTCTTCCGAAGGTTTTGTGTCGACTCAAAACTTTTCAGAAGGGACAGCTGCAGCGGAGAAGGCACTGGTCGCAGCTCGTGCAGCAGCAGGCTCCTAGTATCCCGAGCTCTCAGGCTAGTCCTGCTTGCCTCCCGCTCCACTCTCCTCTCAGCAACCAAACATCGCTGCCTGCTTGCTCACACCCCTTGCCTCCTGCTCCCTCCCTCCTGCTCCTCCTAACCCCTCTCCACCGTTCTCCACCCTTATCCACTGCGCCAGTCGCTCCGCCGAGTCCCCAGCAGCAGCAGTGCGGGTAGCAGCCCCATCGAGGAGGCAACAGCGTCGGGCATCCTCGCAGCCTCGCTGCTCCCTGGGGGCTCCTCCTCCCACTCCGACCTTCTCACAGGAGCGATTATCGCTGCCTGCTTGCTCACGCCCCTTGCCTCCTCCTCCCTCCCTCGTGCTCCCCCGCTCCTGCTCCCTCTGCACCCCTCTCCACCCCTCTCCGTCCCTCTCAACCCCCTCTCTCTCATGCAGTGCGCCAGTCCCTACGTCGAGTTCCCAGCAGCAGCAGCGCCGGAAGCAGCGCCATCGAGGAGGCAACAGCGTCGGGCATCCTCGCAGCCTCGCTGCTCCCTGGGGGCTCCTCCTCCCACTCCGACCTTCTCACAGGAGCGATTATCGGCGGCACCAGCAGCGGCGGCGGTGGGGGCGGGGGATTTGGGATGCTTGGTGCCAGTGCGTCTATGGGGGCGTTGGGGGGAGGGTTGGGGACGCCTGTGGGAATGGGGTATGGAGGGGCGTCGGGTGGAGGTCTGCTGAGGCCGAGTGCTGCGAATGCTGCGACTGTGGAGCATTTGGAGTCGCTGCTGAGGCAGAAGGATGGAGAGATCGCGATACACACTGCGAGACTGGTGCGTGCATGAATGTGTGGATGTGAGTGCGTGCAGATTTGCTGGCTGAGGAGCTCGTTAAGACGGCAACCCAGTGAGAGAGCCTGCGGAGCGAAGTGACTCAGCTGCCTTGATACCCCTTCTCCCTTGTATCTTCCCATCCCATCCTACCAGGCTGCTCTAGAGAGCGCGCGTTTGAGTCGACTCAAAAGCAGGTGACTCAGCTGCCTTGATACCCCTTCTCCCTTGTATCTTCCCATCCCATCCTACCAGGCCGCTCTAGAGAGCGCGCGTTTGAGTCGACTCAAAAGCAGGTGACTCAGCTGCCTTGATACCCCTTCTCCCTTGTATCTTCCCATCCCATCCTACCAGGCTGCTCTAGAGAGCGCGCGTTTGAGTCGACTCAAAAGCAGGTGACTCAGCTGCCTTGATACCCCTTCTCCCTTGTATCTTCCCATCCCATCCTACCAGGCCGCTCTAGAGAGCGCGCGTTTGAGTCGACTCAAAAGCAGGTGACTCAGCTGCCTTGATACCCCTTCTCCCTTGTATCTTCCCATCCCATCCTACCAGGCTGCTCTAGAGAGCGCGCGTTTGAGTCGACTCAAAAGCAGGTGACTCAGCTGCCTTGATACCCCTTCTCCCTTGTATCTTCCCATCCCATCCTACCAGGCTGCTCTAGAGAGCGCGCGTTTGAGTCGACTCAAAAGCAGGTGACTCAGCTGCCTTGATACCCCTTCTCCCTTGTATCTTCCCATCCCATCCTACCAGGCTGCTCTAGAGAGCGCGCGTTTGAGTCGACTCAAAAGCAGGTGACTCAGCTGCTTTGATACCCCTTCTCCCTTGTATCTTCCCATCCATCCTACCAGGCTGCTCTAGAGAGCACGCGTTTGAGTCGACTCACAAGCAGGTGACTCAGCTGCCTTGATACCCCTTCTCCCTTGTATCTTCCCATCCCATCCTACCAGGCTGCTCTAGAGTGCACGCGTGACTCTTAAGCTGAAGAGCTCGTGAAGACAACAACGCGGCGCGAGAGCCTGCGGAGTGAGGTGACTCAGCTGCCTTGAGGTTCCTCCTCTCTTCTACCCTGTCTCCCTGCCTCCCATCAGGCCGCTCTAGAGAGCACTCGAGACTCTTTAGCTGAAGAGCTCGTGAAAACAACCACCCAGTGTGAGAGCCTGCGGAGTGCGGTGACTCAGCTGCCTTGACTCAAGGCAGAGCTGGAGGCGATCCGGCGTGACTGAGAGTTAGTCCATACCTTTACTCTCCTCCTCTCATTCTCCTTCTCTGCCTTGTCTCCTTTCCTCTCATCAGGCTGCCCTCGAGAGCACCCGCGATTCTTTAGCTGAGGAGCTCGTGAAGACAACCACCCAGTGTGAGAGCCTGCGCAGCGAGGTGACTCAGCTGCCGGGACTCAAGGCTGAGCTGGAGGCGATAAGGAGGCGGCATGCCTCTGCACTTGAGCTGATGGGGGAGAGAGACGAGCAGGTGAGAGGCGTGGGAAGGGTATGGGGGACAGAGGTAGTTAGGCAGGGTAATACGATGGAAAATGACGAAGGGAGTGAGGCTCAAGGCAGAGCTGGAGGCGATAAGGAGGCGGCATGCTTCTGCTCTGGAACTGATGGGGGAGAGAGACGAGCAGGTGAGAGACGAGGGAGGTGAGGGGAGTGGTAGGGGAAAGAAGGAGGGGCAGAGGCAGAGAAGAGAACTCGGTACGGAGGTTTAGAGGAGAGAGATTGGGGAGGCCTGATGGATGTGAGGGCAGGAGGGGTGGTGATGGGTTGAAGGGAGTGTTGAGCCACACTGCTCGCAAACCACCTAACACATTGTCTCTTTTTGTCTCCCTGCTTGTGGTGCATGGCAGGTGGAAGAGTTGAGGGCAGACCTTATGGATGTGAAGCAGATGTACCGCGAACAGATTGACATGCTGGTGGATCAGGTGAGGGGGGATAGGGGCAAGGGATGGTGGGATGGGCATGACATAACATGATACGGGGCATGCCATGGTGAATGTGAAGCAGATGTATCGCGAACAGATCGACATGCTGGTGGATCAGGTGAAGAGGGGGAGGAGGGGAAGGGGGTGATAGGGCAACGCACTACTATATGGTGGCATGCTCGGCATGAGGAATGGCATGGCATGGCGTGGCACGGCATGGCATCGATACTGCAGATGCATGGTGATGCAGGCCCTTGCAAGACTCGGCATGGTGTGGGATGTGATAATTTGATGTGTCTATGGGTATGAGATGTGCTAATGCGTCTGTGAGTTAGGGGGCACCATTTGTGCCATTTATCGAACACTAGTCCAGTGTCAGCTCAGGGATTTGCGACAACCTTTTCTCTTTCTCTTTTTTTTTTTTTTTTTTTTTTTTTTTTGTTTACTTAAACCTTGTCCCTGTGCAGATTCAAAAGCTTGGGAAGGAGATGCATGGGGGCACCTAACTAAAACTGGGGAATTTCACATACAGCTGGATCAGTTTTTCAATGTTTTTGCCCTGCATATTTGTGACAACTTGCTTTACGGTTATGCTCAATCAGGTCAGGAGCAAAGAAAACGGTTGAATGTTGTTAATCAAGGTCGTCTGTTACACATTAGAAGGCTACAAGAAAGTGAATGACGGCACCTAGTTTCTTAGAATGAAGCAACTTGTAAACGCATTGCTTTGTGGTTGATCTTCGCTTGCTGCGACGAGCTAAGTTTTGGATGGAGTAGCCAGAGCCGTTAGATCCAGTGGGAGACTGATTTCGCGTAAGTCTCCCGACCATGCTATGCGGGAGGTTACCTCATAACTTTCAGGTCGAGCGAAATCTCCACTTTACCTCCATCGCCATTTAGTGATTGTGTTTTGTCTGAGGATGCACCATCTCTCATCAGCTCCGCGCCGCTTTAGAGCATCAGCTTGGGATTAGTGACCGTTACAGGCTGCCACGTCACAGTCGTATAGGGCGTGCCTATTCCTTGCTGGCTTCAGAGTTGACTCGAGGATGACACCTAGGGCGACAATGTACGCTCCCGTATTCAAGGCTACGTGACTCCAGACACCAAGTTGGGTTTTGAGACGTCTCAAGTCTTGGTTGTGACACCTAGGACGACAATGTACGCTCCCGTATTGAAGGCTCTCTCTCAGCTTTTGCATCCCTCGCCATATTACACCCCGTTAGTACGTCGCAGCGCCCGGAGATACGGCCAGATTGTGACTCAGTCGAAGGGTCGGCAGCTGTGCCTGCGCGCGACGAGAGTGGTCCACCGAGCTCACGCTGCATCCGCTGGAGAGAGCGCAGATGCCGAATCCGACGGCTCCTATCGTCTTGCCGACCCTGAAATTCCGGAATGTGAACAAATGCGAGCAGAGCATCATGACAATCGGGTTCCTTCTTCAGCTGAAGTTGAGGGTTTTGAAGTTGAAGCTTTTGAAGTTGAAGCTCGGAATCGGATTACGATAGGTCTCTCGACTGATCGCGACAAGCTCGAGAACATTCAGGTTCCTTCTCCAGTTGAAGTTGAAGCTAGGAATCGGTTTACGATAGGTCTTTCGACTGATCGCGACCGGATCGAGTCTGTTTCTGAGGCGCCTCAAGGCCAGACGTCGCCTTCAGTCGAATTTGAAGCTCGGAACCGGATTCCGATAGGTCTCTCGACTGATCGCGAAAGGATCGAGGGTCCGAGCGGGGACAATGGACGGGTTTCGTCAATGCCTGCGGCAAGCCCCGCTGCAGAGCCGCCATTGGTCGGCGATGACTCAAGCGAACGTGGTTTCGTTACTGAGGTTTCGTCTTCCAGTTGTAACGAGACGGCTTTAGGCTCGAATCAAGGGGCTTCAGCTCGTAGTGCGAATGCGAAACCTAAGAAGCCGCGGCAGGCCAAGAAAGTAAAGCCGCCATTGGTGCGAGACGACGAGCCGCTTGATGTGCTGTTTGAAGATGATTGGATACTGGTGAGCAGCTCTGGCTTGTGATTGGCTGCTGGTAAGTGTTATCCCCTATCAATCATTAGCGGCTGGTTGATTTTCCTGGTTGAAATCGGTGGCTGGTGGTTTTTTTTTTTTTTTTTTTTTTTTTTTTTCACTATTAACTCTCCCTGTACTCGATAACTTATCTTAACTCTTTCCCTCCTCAACCCCTCCATAGCATCACCAGGTGGTAGCAGGAGTGAAGAACTCGTGCTGATTCACGAAGCTTTCATCATTAATAAAACTTAACTCTCTCCGACTCCAAATTACCCTTCTCATCAACCCCTCCCCTCCATCTTTCTGTGACTACGACACCAGGTGGTGAATAAGCCAGCAGGGGTGAAGCACTCGTGCTGATTCATGAAACTTTTTCATTCATTATTGAAGCTTGTCCCTCTGCAACTCCAAATTACCCTTGTCATCAACCCCTCCCCTCCATCTCTCCGTGACTACGACACCAGGTGGTGAACAAGCCAGCAGGGGTGAAGCACTCACCGCTGCACCGATTCGTGGGGGGAGCACTGGTCAACCGAGTGGTGAGTTAGTCAATGCTGGTCAACGCTGGTCAACAGAGTGTTACCAGGTGGTGAACAAGCCAGCACGGGTGAAGCACTCGCCGCTGCACCGGTTTGTGGGGGGAGCACTGGTCAACCGAGTGGTGAGTTAGTCAATGGACAACGCTGGTCAACGCTGGTCAACAATGGTCAACGATGGTCAACGTTTGACCACGCCCGAGAGGCTCTTCTGTCGGGCCCGACTGTCATTTCTGTGCATCGCATGGATAAATTCATCACCTGCCCACACATCCAGTCCTTCTATTCACACTCACACAGCCCACCTGACACCCCGACGAAAATTGAGACGTCTCAAAACTCACACTCACACAGCACACCTGACACCTTGACCGAAAACACCAGGCGCATTACCTACAGGCTGTCCCCTTCACAGTGCACCGCCTAGACATATTCACCACCGAAATCTTTCGCTTCGGCGCAACCGTTTCCCCATGCGATTTGTCCTTTCGACTTGCTTCCTGCACCCCCCCTCCCCCCTCCTCCCTCCCCCCCAAACACACCAGGCGCATTACCTGCAGACCGATCCCTTCACAGTGCACCGCCTAGTCATGTTCACGAGCGGAGCCATGTGCTTGCCCTTTCCCCACCTGCGCATACCACACCCACACACAGGCGCACTATTTGCAGGCGGACCCCTTCACAGTGCACCGCCTGGACATGTTCACCAGCGGCGTCATTTGCTTCGCCAAGACTCGCGCCATCTCCCAGGCTCTCCACCAGGCCTTCCGCACCAAGGACCAGGTGAGAGGGGAGATAGGGAGAGATGAGGGGTAAGAGAGCAGGTAAGGAAGCGAGTCATCCGCTTCGCCAAGACTCGCGCCATCTCCCAGGCTCTCCACCAGGCCTTCCGCACCAAAGATCAGGTGAGAGATGCTACGTGGAGTGGGGGGGGGGGGGGGGGAGGGAGGTGGGAGGCGCGGCAAAGTGTGTGAGGGGAGGGAGAGAGCAGGTGGGGACACAGCGATTTTGTCTGAGACCTGCCCGTGCTACTGCAACACCACAGTGCGCCTCACCTTGGTGGGAGGGAGAGAGCAGGTGGGGAAGCACGTCATCTGCTTCTCCAAGACTCGCCCCATCTCCCAAGCTCTCCACCAGGCGTTTCGTTCCAGTTCCAAGGACCAGGTGAGGTGAGGTGAGGTGAGGTGAGGTGAGGTGAGGTGGGGGAAAGGGTTGCCATGGACTTATGTGATGCCCTCTGTCTGTTTCTCCCTTGTCCTCGGTGTTTTAATCACTTGGAGAGTTCTCAACAAGTGATTTCCATGTTGCACGACGAGACCCTTACCCACCCTGGCTCATCTGTTGCCCTCTGTCTATTGCTCCCTTGTCTGTTGCTCCCTTGTCTGTTGCTCCCTTGTCTGTTGCTCCCTTGTCTGTCGCTCCCTTGTCTGTTGCTCCCTTGTCTGTTGCTCCCTTGTCTGTCGCTCCCTTGTCCTCTGTGTGTGTTGGTCCCCCTCCCTCGCAGGTGGCGAGGCAGTATCTGGTGCTCGTAGTGGGGGCTGCCTCCTTTGGATTTGTTCACTATCAATGCACCCATTGCACGAGACTCTGACCATGAGTTGCTTCCCTCTGTCTGTTTCTCGCTCCCATCGCATGTAACCCTGACCACGACTTGCCTCCTTCGCGCATTTCTCCCTCCCAGGTGGCGAAGCAGTATCTGGTGCTCGTGGTGGGGGCTCCCTCCCTTGGACTCGTTCACTATCGATGTCCCCATCGCACGAGACCCTGACCATGAGTTTCCTCCCTCTGTGTGTGGCGGTCCCATTGTTTCTATACTTCGATCCTGTCCCTGCCCCTCCCTCCCAGGTGGCGAAGCAGTATCTGGTGCTCGTGGTGGGGGCTGCCTCCTTTGGACTCGTTCACTATCGATGTCCCCATCGCACGAGACCCTGACCATGAGTTTCCTTCCTCTTTGTGTGGCGGTCCCATTGTTTCTATACTTCGATCCTGTCCCTGCCCCTCCCTCCCAGGTGGCGAAGCAGTATCTGGTGCTCGTGGTGGGGCTGCCTCCTCCCTCGGACTCGTTCACTATCGATGCCCCCATAGCACGAGACCCTGACCACGAGTTTGCACGCATGGTTGTGGGAGAGGAGATTGGAGAGAAGAGAGGAGAGAGTGGGACAGAGGAGGTTGGAGTTGGAGAGAAGAGGGAGGAGGGAATGGTGCAGGGAGTTTTTGAGAATTCTCAAAAACCCGTCGCACGAGACCCTGACCATGAGTTTGCATGCATGGTTGTGGGAGGGGAGATTGGAGAGAAGAGAGGAGAGTGTGGGACAGAGGAGGCTGGAGAGAGGAAGGGAGAGGGAATGGTGCAGGGAGTTTTTGAGAATTCTCAAAAACCCATCGCACGAGACCCTGACCATGAGTTTGCACGCATGGTTGTGGGAGGGGAGATTGGAGAGAAGAGAGGAGAGCTTGGGACAGAGGTGGCTGGAGAGAGGAAGGGAGAGGGAATGGTGCAGGAGGTTGGAATTGGAGAGAGGAGGGGAGAGAGGAGGGGAGAGGGGGTTATACAGGAGCAGCAGAGAGAAGGGATGGGAGAGGCTGGGGCAGAGGAGCTTGGAGGAAGGGGACAGGGGACAGTGGAGGAGACGGATGGAAGGGGAGATATTGTGGGAGAGAGTGGGATGAAGACGAAGGAGAGCAAGACACAGGCCGCAGTGACAGAGTTCCGTGTGCTTGCAAGAAGTGAAGCCTCCGGGTATGACCCTTGTGTGCTGAGCCGCTCTGCATATCCTTGCACCCCTCTGCATATCCTTGCACCCCTCTGCATATCCTTGCACCCCTCTGCATATCCTTGCACCCCTCTGCATATCCTTGCACCCCTCTGCATATCCTTGCACCCCTCTGCATATCCTTGCACCCCTCTGTATATCCTTGCACCCCTCTGCATATCCCTTCACCCCTCTGCATTTCCTTG